CATCAGGAGTGACTCCTCTGTGTTCCTGATATCCAGAGCGCATCAGGAGTGACTCCTCTGTGTTCCTGATATCCAGAGCGCATCAGGAGTGACTCCTCTGTGTTCCTGATATCCAGAGCGCATCAGGAGTGACTCCTCTGTGTTCCTGATATCCAGAGCGAATCAGGAGTGACTCCTCTGTGTTCCTGATATCCAGAGCGCATCAGGAGTGACTCCTCTGTGTTCCTGATATCCAGAGCGCGTCAGGAGTGACTCCTCTGTGTTCCTGATATCCAGAGCGCATCAGGAGTGACTCCTCTGTGTTCCTGATATCCAGAGCGCATCAGGAGTGACTCCTCTGTGTTCCTGATATCCAGAGCGCATCAGGAGTGACTCCTCTGTGTTCCTGATATCCAGAGCGCATCAGGAGTGACTCCTCTGTGTTCCTGATATCCAGAGCGAATCAGGAGTGACTCCTCTGTGTTCCTGATATCCAGAGCGCATCAGGAGTGACTCCTCTGTGTTCAGGACTGATATCTGATGTTTACAAGCGTCATATTGGACCAATAATCTGGAGTCGCACAGAGACGTGTTGTTGAACACTCGCCGCTGCTGTGAACTCAGTTTGAGTGATGTGTTGGTCTGTGTGCGAGTGTGTGTTTTCATTTCCACAGATCCCTCTACTTAGAGAAGTTTCTGAATATTTCTATTTAAAAACTGAATGTATTTGTAAACTCGAGCCTGTCCAGGTGTTGTAGAGCGTTGTAGCGTTTAGGAATAAATGTCACAACACACGTTGACATGGACGTCTGGTTTTTTTCCTTCCATCTTCATTCCTCTGGAAAAGTAAAATATGTCTTTTCCGAATCCCACGGTCAGGAGATGTATTAATGTGGAGGAGGATGTAGACATGTGGTCAGGAATATTGTCCAATATTAATATCATTCAAATGTCTGCCTGTAATTTACTGTAACATGATGCCGGTGAGTAATTGGTCTTGAAATAGTCTCTTCTGGACAGCTCTTACACACGAGCGCTCGTCACTTCATCTGATGTGGAACTGTACGCTACACACTTCACTGTACGCTACACACTTCACTGTTTCTGCGCTCCACATCTCATTTATCCGCACAATTAGAGCCGCTCCTCACTTGACCTTCACTGAGAGACAGGAATATATTAACTGCACTATTCAGCTTTTCAATGTTTAATGATAAATTATTACAAAACATTATAGTAACTATAATTGATGCAAATATAAATATATATATATATATATATATATATATATATATATATATATATATATACATAATGCAAATCTGCACGTGAAAAAGCTGTGACGTAGTTAATCTGGTTTATTTTATTTTGGCTAGTAGAAGTTCTGAATGGCCGGTAACATAAAACACATTGCCTCATTTAGTATGCGCGGTTCTATGAATATGCAAATGAGCCCCGCCTCCACTGGTTGACGATCACACGTTGATCTGATTGGTTACGTCAGAAACACCAGCGATTTCAAACCGTGTTTTTGAGACTGTCTTTGGTTCTCTGCATTTAAGCAGAAAATACTCAGCAATGCTGTCGACTTATGAACTTACACATGGTGTGTCTTAAAGCGTATTAAAAACACCACATAGACACATAAACAACATTAAAAGCTGGAGTTTCACCACAGGGGGACTTTAAATATCGTCCTGCCTATTTATATTAAGGTATTTTTCTATTATTAGGCTCTATATTGTTTCCGTACAGTGGTGACGATAACTGAGGGTCAAATCGTTGCTTATTAATTAAGTATTTTATTGCATTTCAGATATTGAGCGCACAGGATCGTCTTGGTCAGGTATGCGCGCGTCCGCTAAAGTGGCAGGTACGCGCTTCCCGCTGTGTCAGAACGAGAGCTGTCACTTGGCGCGGCCGCTGTTTGTACAGGTGTTTTAGGAAAGAAAACAACGGCAAGACGCTTCCAGTTCAAACACCCACCGCACTCCCGGCCTACTCGAAAAAGACGCGAGGAAAGAATAATATATGGTGGAAAATAATGCGAGAAAACGGCTGAGGGTTTGACAGATGAGCGGCGGGTCGTTGGGGAGTTCGAGTCTGTTTCCCGCGCGCGGTTCTTTTGAGTGATGGCGTGACTAATTTGTCGAGTGACCGTTAACTCTGAGGAGAGATTTTAAGTGAACATCTCAAACTAACATTTAACACATGTAAGAAGCATCACAGCTCAAACTATGATTCAACACACAGGTAAGAAACCTTTTAGCAGAATATGTTATTAAAAACGTTTGGTTGTCAACTTCTTAACATGAATAGCACGACATTCCCTGAAAGTAAAGGTATAGTTCACTCAAAATGCAAATTATTTTATTTACGTCCCCTCGTGTCTTTCCAAACCTAAATTATGTCTTAAATGAATCACAAATCTGAAACTGAAAATATTTTATATTCCACAGAGTAAAGGGCCAACATGTTTGAAACAACATGAGACCGAGTAGACGCGTTCACACCAAGGAAC